TTGAATTTTAGATCTAGAAAACTTTAGCCGCTACTTTTTTGCCCAAAATCTTGAAGTCCCGGTCACTACCACCCCACAATACCTACATCAATGGATAAATCTCATCAAGACCTACCTATTGATGTCAATTCCATCCCAAAAATCCGGCAACTAAAAATCCGTCCAAATTCCGGCGACCACCCCGAACACCCTCGTTTGGTATACCCCTATTCTCATTTCCTTTGTCTATTTTTTCTAATTGTATTGTATTTAGTTTATGTCTAGCATAATTTTTGATTTTTTTATTTATTTATTTTTATTATTATTATTTATATTTTTATTATTAGTTGTGTTTAATCTATGTTAGCTTAGTCGTTCATAGTTATTAATCACTGATAATTAGTTATTCATTAGTTTTGAAATAGTTATTTGCTTAGTCATGATAGTTTATGATAGAAGTATCAAGTGCTTAGTGAATTTATTTTTATTGGATTTGAGTGTTTGAATTTTTGTGTTGATAAAAGCTGAAATTAAAGAAGGAATAGTACAAGTTTGGTTGTTTTTACTGCGCAAAACTTTGGAGTGCAAAACTCAAAAGTCATTGTGTGGTGACAAGTACAATACTTTTTGACAGCTTTTGAACAGTGTTTAGCACACAAAGTCAGTCTTTTGGACAGACTTTTGGTGAACCAAAATCTGTCCAAAAAATCTGATTTATTTGCCTATTTAAAGGGCTCTTTACTCACTGAAAAGGAAAGGGACACTCTATTACACACTCTATCTTATACCGAGACACATCTTGGAGAGTTGCTTAAAGACATATATCTTTGAGAAAAATCAGCTGCTTAATACATATAACAAGCTGAAATTTCAGAGTTTTGTGAGGATTATTTGAGTGCAAAAACCTCGAGAAAAATAAAAAGATCTCTTAGGCAATTTGTGAAATTGATAGCTACCAGTTTCAAGCATCTTTGTTGAGTTTTCTAGGTTGTCTTAACACTTGAGTTGCTGCTGTTTCTACTATATTTGCTGCTGAGTTTTTTGTTGCTGCACTGCTGTATTTTATTATTCCACAAACCAGGTAACTTTCAAATTCTTATATTGCAGATTCTTGATGATAATAAGAAGGATTTGATCCCGGTTTGGTTGATGGAACATNGGGTTTGGTTGATGGAACATATTAGATCTGATTTTGTTTCAAGATGAATGTTATATTAGTGTTATCATCATGTAAATCTGTTAAAAATTAGTTAAATTATCGTTTTCTTCTTTATATATGTGATTGAAATTGCATTATGTTAAGATTACTTAGTTTAAGAAAAAGATAAAGACCCCACTTTTAATCATGTTTGTTTAGTTTGGGCTCTTTTTCGCGAGTTACTTTCATGGTTCATGTATAATTATCTAAGAAAGACTTCTAGTTTCAAATGTTTTGATGCTTTGAATTATAGTCAACATAAAGTTATACTTAATATAGTTCTTCTCTTTAACATTGAAGTACTACCGTTTTTTATAATTTTTATATTTATTCGTGGTTTTTATGTTATTAATGAGTGTAGTTTGACTAGTGCCATGATTGGTGTAGATGAGTAGAAATATTATGTTAGTCCTTAAGAAATAGTTGGTTAAGAAGATAAAAGATAATAATTAGCATGTAAGTTTCTTTTATGAAAAAAATAATTTTTAGTTTGGACATCAATGTAAGAAATAATTTGGGCTTAGAAGAATACTTGTTATTTTGTGTTGTCTTGGTCATCGAGGCTCTTAAGCAACATGGGCCAAATAAGCTAAAATTTGTAGGCTCAATGACAATATAAAGCAAGATGGGCATTTTCTTTAAAATCAATAAATTATCTTTTGTTAAATAAAATAAGTGGCCCAATACCATGAAAGTTTAACATAAGCTTACCCGGGTTTAATGTCTTGCATTAGTGAAAATTATTTTTAATAATAATATTTTTTTTTCAGTCGAACAAGTAATAAATAAAAAAGAAGCGCTTTTTAATTAATTTAAGCGATAGGCAATTTTAGGCACGTTTGAGATGTAGACCATGTGTTCATACACGGTCCTTGGTCGATATTGTTTTTAATAAAGTAGTCATGTGTGCATTCCCGCTCCTTGACTTTTCAATATTAATTGTATTTAAACCATGTGTACCGACACGTTCTTTGTTTTAATACATATAATCAAATAAGGACTTTGTGTGCTTGCACGCTCCTAGGCCAAAATTATTAATTATTAAGCAGCACTAGACAATAGTAAAGGCAAATAATACACACTTTATCCAAAAATAATTCAAGCCAAATTTTAGTCAATAAAAGCGACCGTGCTAGAACCACGGGATTCGGGGAATGCCTTACACCTTCTCCCCAGTTAACAGAATTCCTTACCCGAACTTTATTTTCGCAGACCAATAATAATAGAGTCAGATCTTCCTTTGATTAGGGATTCAAATAAAAAGTGAGATGGAACACCAACAAAATCAATTCCAAGTGGCGACTCTGTAAATAAAATAATCTCTACTCAATTTTGTCACTTTAATTGGAAAACTCTTTAATCCACGTAATATTATTTTGCGGGTAGAAAAAGGGGTGTGACAAAGAGTATTAACAATATAAAAAAGGGATAGAATGGGAAAAGAAACAAAGGGGGCGTGTAAAGGCATAGGAGATGAAAAATTATACTCCGCTTTCAGATTTTTTTATAGTAGAAAGTTTAATTCTCATCAGAATCTTCCTTTCCTTTACTTTGGACCTCTCACCCAAAATAAAATTGGGATTTTTTGCACAAAGATCAGCCATATTCAATATTTATTTATTTGCGGGTATATACAGATATAGACTATATACAGTTATTCACATATTGTATATGAATATAGAGGCAAATTTATAACCTAATATATGAGGCACGTGAACCCATGGTCTTTCCGTCAAATTAGGTAGGCGTTTGGACATAAAAATTGTAAGTTTTGAAAAAAGTAGTATTTGGAATTAAGGTGAAAAATGGTATTTGAAATTTGAAATTATGTTTGGATATGCATTTCACTTGAAAAAATGTTGCAGTTTTGTGAGTGGGAAAAAGTTTTTCTAAAATTTTTGAAAAAATGATCTTATTTTGAAAAACTCATTTTCGAAAAATTTCCAAAAAACCTTGCAAAATTTCATGGACAAACACATTTTTGAAAATATTTTTTGATTTTTTATGGACAAACAGGACCTAGGTATTATATGTACTTATTTCTAAAACTGATATAATATTATCTGCTAGCAGTCTAGCACACATGCTCCAAAGAGGTTAATGGTGAATTTGGTTGAATGATGAGTTATTAACCTATAAGAGCATGTATTAATTTTCACTTAATATTATTTTTCTCCCTTCTTTAGTAATGCACTCATGTTATAAAAATTCTAGATCTGTCTCTATATGAATAATACATATATTATATATTCACCTGATATTTTTAATTAATCGGTTTGGAAGATGATTATTTAGGTTAATTCATCAATAAAAATTAAGGATTGCAATAAAAAACATCGAGTGCCCAGCCCCTATATCTTGGTTACTGAACTAGCTAGGTTGACCAAATGAAGAAGTTTATTGTTTAACAAGTTTATTGGAGATTGTTAGTTTATTTTATTTGTTTGACTAAGGGGTCACAAATGGTCACCCCTTACAATTAGGAGTAACAAAAGGACGGGTCGGATTAGATATGATTCGGGTCGAAAACGGGTAATGAAAAAATGGATAAATTATCCGACGCGACCCATATTTAATACGGATAAAAAATGGGTTAACCGACGGATAATATGGGTAACCATATTATCCATGGCTTCATGAATATGATCACTTTTGGGAGAATTCCTAATCTCCCAAACTTGAGGAACCCCTAATTTGAGGCTTTACAAATGTAAAAGTTAAACCCATTAGTTATCCATTGGTTACCGATTTTCTAAATGGATAATATAGTTCTTATCCATATTTGACCGATTTTTAAAAAAATATCATTATTCAACCCATTTTTTAGTAGATAAAATGAGTGGTTAACTGTTTTCTTTTAACTATTTTGCCACTTCTACTCACAACACACACTATTTAATTAACGTAGAAATTGAGTTTGAATCCACCCAAAAAAGTTCCAAAGTCTGAAACAGCCTTATCCCTTTTTTTCTTTTTTATTATGTCTTAAAAATGGATACTTTAATTTATATTGCAGGTTCATGGCTCCAGAGCAACATGGCCACTTCCGAAAAACCAAGTTAGTGTGTGGATTTCTGAAGAGATAACGAACCAAATGAAAAGAAGAATTAAAAAAGAAAGAAATTAAGAAAGGGCATTATCGAAAGATAGTACTCCACTTATTTAAGTATGAATATTTCTAACTATTAGTTTACAACTTTACGTGGTCCTTGAACTGGTTATCGGAAATCCCACATGGTAGGGAAACAGTACTATAAATATTTGTTATTACTATCCGTGTATATTATATGGTTATAGCAAGTTTATTTTTTTATTTTTAGGCTATTGAATTAGTTTTACTATAAAAGATACATGTTATTATTACAAGTCTTCTTGACATGATGGCATTGATTGTCCACATCGGTAGGTATTAGGATCCTTTGTCCTCCTTATATATTCTTGGAATGAGTTGGATCCAAAGTTCATTTCTCTATCAAATAATATAACTCTTCCTGAGGATTTTTTTTTTGGTCTGGACATGGTGTGACAAATTATTAAATGTGTTACCGTTACGATTTAACCAAAGATTCGATAATTTGTATTATTATAGAGAGTGAAAAGTTAATCATGTTATATGGAAGGCAGATTATGTCTTTTGAGCATTTTAGGTCCAGAACTGCTAGTTATCATTTGGTGACATAATATTGAGTACATTCCATAAGGGAGAGGTTTTGGGACACTGGAAAAAGATATGATTAACATCTTCAATTGTATTGCAGTGAGGACAATTATTCCTAGTGAGGATGTTACTGTGAACTCATAAAACAATCCAAAGTGCAAAAGCTGATTGTTAATAACTTTATGCATTGGTCTTACCCTTTCACTCTTGCATCTATTACAAGTATTCATTTATGTACAACTTATAATGAATCATTACAAAATTACATTGGCCATATATACTCTAGCTAACATAATCCCCCCAACACAGAAAAAGAAAAAAGAGATCACAAGTAAACAAGTAAAAACTAAGCTTTAAATGAATGTGTCATAATAGCTAGCTACTCCTATTCTTATATACCTAGTATTAATTGCTAGATACCACATCTTCACGTTGGAGTGGTTCAATCCTAATTATGATTTCTTGAACTGTTGCTGCTGATGATGAGATATTGTTAGCTACCTGAGAATTTGGAATTGCAGTTGTAGTAACAGAACTGTCTCCATTCACACTTTTTTGACAAGTTTCAATAAGGCAGTGCCTACAAGTAGGGCAAGAAGAGTGGGAATTCAGCCATTTATCAATACAGTTGACGTGGAAGCAATGGTTGCACTTAGGCAGAACCTTAATTTTCTCTCCAACTCCAAATTCTGATAAGCAAATTACACACTCAGAGTCATCAATTCCTGGATGTTCCAATCCAGTAGTGTAAGTTATAACTGGAAATGTTTTGAGGGTTTTCTTCTTGATTCCTTTATTGGCTAGCTTTTCTGTAGAAGTGCTTCTATGGTTTGAGGATGAGTCTGTTAACATTAGGCTAGAGTACTTAAATGCACACTTTATAATGGAGTTCAAGAAAAGTGAACAAATCAAGCCACATAAAATTACAGACAAGACTAGCACAACATTTGTATCAATGGGGATATCGTTCACTAGTAGTAAATCTGTTGGGTCGTGGCTGTTTCCGGCTGCCGGCGACGGAGCCAATTGTGGAGTGGCTGCTACAAGTATTCTTCTTGAGTAGTGGAAGTTCAAGAATTGATCTTGAGTGAAAAGTGTGGAAGTAGTTGCCATAGAGCTTTAGATTGAGAGTATAGTGTGTGTTTGTACGTTACTTTTTTGTCTAACTCTTTTTGGTTTTTGTTGGTGTTGAATGAATTGAAGTCTCCCTTGGAGGCAGTTGCTTATATAGGGAAAATTTTAGAGGGGGGGGTGGGAAAGGTATAAAGTTTGCGGATGAACTTTTTGAGTATTATAAAGTGAAAGAATATTGGTTATTAACTAAGTATAAATACGATTTCTCTCTTATAGCGATTCAAGCCATTTTAATTGACAAACCTTTCTTTTAAGCATTACAATTTAAAAGGTCAGTTTAATCATTAATGTTACACTATTAATATCGTTTAACTTGTGATAGTAGGTTAATTAGTAATTTTTACCAAATTATCAATTATTGATTAATTAATATAAAGATTCAGTTATTATTACCCTGTAAGTCGCTTCTGATTGTTATATATTTTTTAAACTCATGTTGCACAATACTTAAAACCCTTGAGTAATAAGAAAACCAGTTTTCTGTTCATGCACTATATATGAGAATCAAACCATTAATTCAAAGATATATTTGAAATAGCAGGTGCACGTTATCTTACAGCTGCCAGTATATTAGCTTAACGTGAATTGTCCTTCCTAAATAATCTATTCGACACATGTTAAACTAATTTCTATCTTTCTTTCTTTGTTTTTTTTTTCCCTGGCCAAAGCGATGAAACTGTTTGATGTTAAAGATTGTAAAGTTTCTCCTTCAAATAGAGAAGAAATCAATAAGGAGATAAAGGAAATCAGACCAGTGACTCTCAGTATCAAAACTATATTGAGCAAATCTATTTTGCATTACACGTACTAAAACTTGACAAGCATTGTTTTTGTCTCGTGTTCGATATTCGTATTGGAACTTGACTAAATTCGAATTCTAAAAAAAGTTTCACACTCGATGATAATGGTAAAGACTCGCTAATAAAAGCAATTCTATACTTAGAAATCTTAACCCAAAATTTATAATTAAGGATAAAAGAATACTAATCAATCCAATTTATCTTTATTGGTGCCTTTCATCATTTCATGTTGATTGAGATTGAACTCATTATTAACTGGGAAAAGTGGTACCCACCAAATTGTGTAGTTAAAAAGGTCTCTAAGTCTTTGTAAAATCGTTATTTGTAAACCATATATTCATTACTTTTTGCTACGTGTACTTCCAACCTTTTTCTCTTTTATGAAATATCTGCTCTTTCTCAAACCATTTCTTGATTCCTAGTATCTTCACTGTCTCCCCAGCTATTAACTAGTCCATGTTGTTTGATATTCCACCAAAGATCAATCTGATATAGGATCAAATTTTTTGTTTGTTTCTTAATTTAAAAATTGGTAGATGGGTCCCAGATATCACTAAGTATTTATAACCATGATGCATAAATATTAATATATATTATCTTTTAGTACCCAAAATAAATATTTTACTGATAACTCTTTCAAAGCCTACCTCAAGAGTAAAAAGTGGCTGTCAACATTTACGGTAATTGTTAATAAGAAAGTATTAGCAATGATTTGTTGTAGAAAACTTAAAATCATATCTTCCATGTCATTAGTTAATTCTTTAGCTTTTCCGTGGAATACATTTGCTCTTTCTTGTAAGTAATCCTGCAAGATTCTGTGTACAAAACAAATCCTTTTGGTGCTTCTTAGTATTTAATTAACTAATCCCCATTTGGTTGAGATTCTAAAGATATTACGTCTTTTGGATCAAATACTTTTTTCAAAATCGTAATACAATTGATTGGTGAGCTCAAGATAGTCTGGTGGCTAAAACAAATACCAAATATTTGCTTGTCTTAAATTGTCCAACAGCATAAGAACCCAATTTCTCTTACATCTTTACACTTTGCATAAGAAAGTGTTCAGCTACGCAATTTACCTAAGATGAGACTTGTCAAGGATGGACAACTGGAATTGCAACTAACTAAAGAGCAAAAGAGAAACATATAAAAATGAAACAAGGTCCAATTCGATTTTGACATATACTTTTCAAGCCTATCTTTGAGATGATGTTTAGACGCAAAGTAACAACTTAAAGGACTAATCAACTTCCTTGTTTTATCCTACGAGCTGTGCTTTTTGCTGGAGACAAGAAGCAAGCAAAAAACGGTTGTCAACATTTCAAGAAAATAACATTTTTTTTCCTTTTGTAGAAAACGTATATATTCCCAACCTAACTCACCTTTTGCAAGTGTAGCCACTTGATTTCTCCTTGTGTACTGCTACTGCTGCTGCTACTACTAGTCATTTTCTAAGTAATCCTTTAGATTGCTAGCACACAGCCGAAGATGAGTTGATTGGTAATTTAAGATGTAATACTCAAGTGGCTAGTTATAAGAGAAGGAACATGAATCAAATGAACCATCTTGTGCATAATTTAGTGCAACAGTTCTTCAGTTATAAGGAATGGATCATGAATCAAATGAGCCATTTTCTTTGGGTCTGAATTTTGAACTACCACAACTTCAACTTTATACCTAAAAGTCTGAAGTTAGGGTCTGTCCGAGGCTACTTCCGCCTGCAGGTCTAAAGTTAGGGCTGTCTGCATTAGAGCTGATTAGAGCGGATTGAAGATATTACAAATGTTGAAGTGCCGATAATTTTTTGCAGAAACTACTTGCAATTCTAAAATATAAGGCGTGTCACCTCTTCTTCAGTGCACCTATTTGCCTTTCCTCTTTAAACGTTGAGTATGGAATGTAACTTGTAAGTGTACATTTAAATCTAAAGATTCAAATATGATATGTAAATAACCAGTGAAATGAAAGAAATCAAAATTGAGTTAAAAATTACAGTGTTTCAAGAAGAAACTTCATTATTGAAGTTGCAACTTAGTAGTTGCAATTTCATCTTGTACCACTTAGGTGCAAGGTTTCAATCCCACAAAAAGTCCTTTAAAACTTCTACCTTTCGCTCCCCTACTATATGTCCACAAACCACCATCACCAATAACTTGTTTTCGAAAAAGTAACTTTATTATTGATTTCTTTCCATCAGTCCAAATCTTGGTGGACAAGTATAGCAGGGTACCTCGATGAATACCACGGTTATAAAAAAAAAGTTAATTTATTACGAAATATATCATAGGTCTTTTATGCTTTTACCTTTTCCTTTCCCACTCTATGCACGAACCACCATCACCCAGAACAAAATAAGAAAAGTCACTTCATTACAAATATATATACTTCATCTACATAAATCATTCAGAGACTTAATATGTATCATCAAACAGGATGAGAATATCTAGTGATAAGTACTACTAATCATTTTCTGAGAACCCTAGTACAAAAATAAAAAACTTGATGATGCTTCCTACTCTATAGCTAATCTCATTGAGGCTTGCTGAATGGAGAAATTGCTCCAAGATACTCTTCTTCGCTAAAAGGTAAGATGGACCAACGGGCACGTTCGGTGTACGTAGTATGATACAACAGACGAAATCAATTTGGGAATCAAGTTTAAGCTTAAGTAATATTTGTATGGCTTGTATTAAAGCAAGATAATCTTCTTAGATGCTACCAAATCTTTGTCAAGTAGTACTACAACAATTGTATGATAGAAGACTCGAAAGGTATAGTACTGATAACGATTGTTCTCAATCTCTCCATTTAGAACTTTACTTCTGTATGAAGAGTTGTCTTCCCTTTTTGTTTAACTTTAGTTATTTTTAATATTTGTGATAATTAAATTAGTTAATTCCTTATCTTTGTTCATAAAGTACGTACTTATAACCACTTGTAATACCCTATGTCCCTATCTAGCTGTGGGCTGGACTACACTTGTAAATTGTGAAGTATTGACAAGGAGGACCCAAGATCTCAAAAATAAAGAAAGAAATCAAGTAGACCTTAATAACAATTATTTAGGTAAGAGAAGAAGAATATAGAAAAAGAAAAAGAAACAAAAAAAAGTACAGCAGTAGGTTAATTACTGACATTTATCCTACTCATATGGATAGAAGTATATAAACATGTAAGACTAAGTGTGAATCCCCCTTTTCAACTGATAGGTTCAAGTTTCACTTTGTTTGGTGTTGAACCATATACTCAAAACTTAAATAATAAAAACAACTAAATGGACCAACTCGAACAGTTCTGAGCAGCAGCTGAAAGCCCTTAAGCAGAAGTTTACTCAACTCATGATTCGGGATTACTAGCATAGACCTTTGGTAGGATACAGTAAATGACAGCTCCAATAATTGTTACGGATGGATCCATGGATATGGCTAGATACTGCTGGATATTCAGAATTTGATCAAGCAAACTGCCTAGTTTTAACCGCTTTCCAGTTCTTTAGCAATAAGTTCTTTTTCTGTTGGTTCACCCTCTTGTCTTCTTCCCATGTGGTGTTCTCAATTCTGTATTTTTACATCCTAACTTACTAAGGTTTTTAAGACAAATATGCCTTCATATTCACAGTTGATAAAACCAAATAATTCCGACGACCTACATGACAAGTTTATGTCTTTCATTAGATTTAGTTTACAAACTAAAATATTTACACTATTATATCACAAAAAAGTCAGTGGTAGTCTAGTAGATAAGTGTACTACACTTCTTGAAGAAACAAATAACGTCAGTCACTTCTAGTTGACTCTTAAGTCTCAACTGCATAAGGTCTCCACAATCACTGATAAAACATCAACTATGTCAAATATAACACTAAAAAAGTTTCTAAAATTAAGCAAATGTATAATTGAATAAGACATTTCAGGCGGGCATGGTATACACATTTTTTGAAGCCAGGGAGTATGCGTCATACTTCAAAAAGAGGAAATGATAAAGTTGTTACTAACTTGTATGTTCATCAAACAAATTATCATTCTCCTGAAATAAGTAATGTCAGAGGCTGGACATTGGAGTGTTGAGCTAATAGCAATTCTTTTAGCTGCTTCAGTTCTTTCACATCATTTTCTATGGTAGACAAGCGATCTTTCAAAGATTGGTTTTCCTCTCGAGTTGAACATAGCTCAGACCGTAATTCAGCCTTTGAGGAAGTGCCCCTTTTCAAGTCTTTCGCCTTTACTCCACCCCCAAATCCAAATACAT